AGTATACTAGGACGTGAAGCATTTATAATATTCTCCAATTATCTGAGGCATATTATATCTTCGTGATTAAATATGGCATTTTTTGTTCTCCGTCCATGAATGAAGCAGTAAAATTAATAAATATTAACGTCTATTTGTCTGTAACATAAATTTAAAAATATCGATATATAGAAGAGCATTTAAAAAAACAAATAAATATCACCGACTTCATTTTTGGTGCCATAGACATGTAACAATAAGATGATGGTTATGAATAGTTTTAGATAAGATTCTTACACGATACGATATCCCACACAGCCATATGTATCACATTTAGGATTAAGAGGTTGCTTTAAGAGGAATCTTTGCTATATAATTTCGCTACAGATCGCCATATTGCACTTTTCGCAGGTTTCAGACAGGTGCGTCCAGATTGGCGCCAGCTTAATTATACAGTAGCAGCCAAATGGTTTGCGATTGTTACATACTTTCGATATTTTTTTCGCTCTATCGTCGTATGCTCTTCTTTGCATGTTGACAAACATTTACACGACTTGTCACCTCTTATTCAATTTACATGTCCAAACTTTGTACCGGCTATGCTGAGTTTTGCTACATCGCAGTCTTACTCCGTCATATGTACATGATAACAATATATGCAACACGTTCATACTATACCATTGATATGTCGGTTATTTAAAGAACGTTACCAACAAATTGCTACGGTCATTTACATGTTCGTATTATTTGCATCAGGATGAAACGATAACAATAACCGTTCTTTACTATATCGATTTTGAATATATGTAACTTAAGCTCAAATATATGAGTCATTATCAATAGCAAAGTATTTGTCGACAAAAAGTACTTACAATTTTCTACAAGACTTTTCATTCGATTAAAAAAAACACATATGCGTTCGTAATCTCGTAAACATTTGCGAAGCGTACATTCGTTGGTCTCGTACACGACATTAGCTTATGATTAATATTGTGTACTATTTAATTATATGTTTTCTTTTAGTTTTTAATATTATGTATTTTACGTCTGATTTTGGTAGCTCTCAAACTTATAAATTTAAATTTAACCATTATGTATAACTACAATTAAGCCAGTTCTAGCAAAAGCCATTTGATATATATACAGAATGAGGTGATGTCGGTGATGCTCTCTTCACCTACCCACCTCGAGAGGAACTTTGTACAATTGAATGAACGCCACTTATTCTGACTTATCACATGAATGCCATTTTCGTGGTTTATGTAGCATGGCACAGTCTGTAAACTGATGTATATATCGTTTCACATACATGGGAGAATACTAGAGCAGAAAATTGTCTGCGACGATCAGTGATTGCTAACGCGCTTAGCAATAGGTCGAAAATTTTGTATATTTGGAATAGACTCAAGGCGAGCACAGGGTCATGAATACGACCAAGGTGCGGAAATAATACATGTATAAATGATATGGGCCATCAAGAAAATCAGTTCAAGGTATATAGGGTACGCATACGATCCGCTGTATTCGGATCTGTTAGCCAATGTCCGGTGATGTGTAATCATACCGCTTCTGCACAGGTTTCGATTTACACACCTTTCGGTCCCGAATCCATCGCCTTTCCACTCAAACACCGACGTCGGACGTTGCGTGGGACATAGCGAGCAAACTGCATACTTATATTCGCAATAGTGGGAATTCATCATTCTGTATACGTTATAAAGCGCAGATACAATTATACTTACGCTTATTTCGTCATTTGCTAAAGCTTAAGATGTACGTATAAAATAAAAAAAACAATTTCTTACATGTTTTTGCAAAAAGAAATTTTCATCAGGTAGGAATCGGAAAATTCGACCAGACAACGGATAATCTATGAGAGAATGATTCTATACGGATTACAATCAAGATACTCATTGTCCATATGTAAGCGATGCATTTGATTGTACATAAATAATGAATTTTACATTTATATAGCAGTTTGCCGAGCCTTATAAATCATATAAATGCTCCTAAACAGGACTTAAGCACGGTTGCTGAACGTAAAATGGGCCGTTAGGAAAATAAATTAGTACTTTTATGCTTGATATCTGCTCTATGATCGTGTCACTCGCATCCAGTATTTCTGTCACTATGCGCGGTGAAAAAATGGTATCTCGCTATTATATATCATATGGGCTGACGCTAATAATTTCATCAACGGTCTATACTACGAGGTATACTTTTCAAGCGCACGAGATCACGAGCCTCTGCACTTCATAGCAATCTTAGACCGCGATGTAAATTTTTATAAAAATTTGAATCTAGTCGCTGCCACGCCAGCAGCGATGTACCTTGAACGTGATGCATATACTTCGCCATCCATTATTACGTATACCACTTCTGCTAAAGTTGCACGTTGTATTCAAGTTATTTGCGAGCATCACTTCTCAAAGAGAAAGAGCAACATGATATGTTACATTTTTTGCTGTAAATACCAATCTCGTTGAGAAATTGTTTCTCACACTTATGCTACTTCCAGGTCGCACTCGAGAGATGTTTCGGTTAATTTCGTTTACGTTAAAGTTATAGAAACGTGATATATATATGCAATACCTTCTGCTAGCGGATCAGCAGTATAATACATAAACGAATTCCGAAGAGCTCTCGGGATTGTCGACGCGAATTATCACGAGATTAATTAAGACGTTGAAAATGAACAACAAAATTTATTTCAGAGCTTGTGAACCACACTTCTATTCTTCGACTCTACGTGACCCGATTAAGTTTTGATCTCATACCTTGATGTAACGCCCTTGTCGTAATAAGATGGGCTAGGCGACACACCTGACGTTTGAAACACTTACAATAACATTATTTAGCAATGTCCTGACTTCCGCTTGCTTCGCACGTAAGATTAGAATGACACCAGGTTGTTGACGCCGAGTGAATCAAATCTTTCCAAAGTGTACTTGCCTTTATGTAAATAATGCAAATATCAGTCTTATGTAGGATCGTATTTGAAAATGCTACTACAATCTTATTCACTACAATCAAGGAAGCAAATTTATACGATGGACATTATTGTGCCTTACGGTTAAATAGATGTTACTTTGCTAAAGCTGTAGTTCTGATCTCGTTGCATCACAATAACAGAATGTGTGGGGGATATCAAGCGCGGCGAATAAAAGAATGGTGTACAAATTCGTGCGCCCAAGTTTGAGACAGCTGATCATGTACAACTGTATAGTTGATGTATCTCGGCTTTACACCGGCTTGCACGCACGCGCTTGCGTCGTTTAGTTTGCGGTATCCGCACATCATCAGCAGTGTTAGAAAATTACGTTATACATGGCTTGTATTCTGTCGTGTAAAAGTAAGTAATGCAAAATCGACTGAATTGTGGCAGCAAATAAAAACCACGATTTCCTGCGTTTCGTTTATTCCGGACAGTATTGTTGAGCAGAAAATTGTCATGGAAAGAGGTGTAAGTCGATCAGCATTGATTGCATGCCATGCCGTGTACGCAACAATCAAGCAACAGCCAATCTGGGTTAGAGGCCACAGAAAGTAGGCGGAGAATACAAGTATGATCTCCTTCAAAGCCATTTTAGGCCCTTTTGTGTATATAATGAAATATAGTGCCTTATGGCAATCGGTGAGTGCTGTTTAGAGCACCTTGAAAAGCTTTTGCAATCAACGTTTTAGAGCGACGTGATATAGCTCTATAATGTATATACATATATACTTGCATTTAGACGGCTTTACGACCAACTACAATTGTCAGACCTCATCAATATCTCGAACAAAGAGTATGAAGCCTAGGCATAGACATGTTAAAAGGAAGCACTAAGTTGTACATTACGTATCGAAGCAGGATCTCGAGTTGAAGTTGTAACTTTGATTAGCCAGTTGTATTCTTTAATGTCAAAATTTCTTGGACGCTCTTCATTGCAGCTCCGCTAAATATCCGACTTGATGACGTTTAGCGACCGTCAGATGCTCACAACAAGTGCTTAAAAGGGTCGTAAGGATTGTTGTCAAGTTGATGATAAAGCCGAGTTTTTGACCGAGAAGTGGGTATCAGGTTGTTCAAGGGCTATTACAAGGAATTAGAGGACCGGCACAATGATACCAGACAGAGGATTCCTTTTTTGACCAACGATTCTATCTGTTTCTTTACCTATATCTAGATGAACGAAGGCGGTCACAATCGTCCCGCTACAAAGTTTCAAAAGGGGCTATCTCACGAAGCTCTTCTCGTAGCGGAAAGTTGTCGACCGTTCTTACATACAAGTCTACCACTGATCGTTGCATATATACTAGCCAGTGATGTGAATGCATCAACGCTTAGAAGTGTACGAAATAGGCACATGAGCAGGTTCCTTAGTCGTGAGATATTGATGAAGAAAACGAATTACTGCGAAGCCGTATTTACCACATCATTGATCAAGTACGTGCATGTTGCAAAGCACCTATTTATGAACAGAGCCTTCATCTGTTACACGAGCTGCAGGTGCGACACCATCTGAGACCCCTCTCGACAATCCCATCGACTTATACAAATTGCATAGCGTTATTCCTTGTATCTTCTTGTCGCGGAGTTATGATGCAAAGAAAATCATCGTCGACGAAATACCTCAATAAGGAGCTGCAGCATCGTCTCACTGGACGGATCTTGCGGCCGTATTGTCACCATTCTGTTCCAATACGTGATGTCTAGGAGCATGTCCACATGACGTTGAATGCCTTGCACAGTGGTTTGAACTCAAATGTGCGTCGACAGCTCTTGAGAGCAGGCTAAGCAACACATGTGTACACGCCATCGGAACTTTAACGCGTAAGTTGACACAGCAGTTTGCCTTGACACGAGTCGTATGCCTAATGCAGAGAAACATTTGCGCTGTCAAGCACGCCACCGCACTCGTATTTACTAAACAGTTCCATACAAATTACTTCATAGACCCTTTTTTGCAGCGTAAAATGCAGCTATATCCATTTGCTCCTTCAGCAGCTCGTACAAACAAGTCAGACCGCCCCTTAACATGTCGGAAGCAGTTCCCAAGAAGCTCGTGGAAGAGATCGCGCGGCTTGAGGTGGACCTCGTGACACTTCAGGCCTCTTGCACCACGTCCGAAGCGGCTACAAAGTGGGTGTTGCAGCTTGGATGAGACACCGCTCTTTCACTCACCGACTTGTTTCTGTGCTCTTAGAATCGCCGAGTTCTGCGAGCGTACTGCAGACCCATTTCTTGGCGAAAAGGACGGCAGTCCAAACCCGTGGCTCCAGAGTAGCCAAAGCGGTAGCGGCTGCAGCATCCTGTAGAACTTTGCTGTCGATGATGTGATCGTCTTTAGCTCTTGATGAGGCGTTTCTCGTATCTGCACTTCAACGCTAAAGAAAACAATTGTAACATCTATTCAATCCGTACCAGCAGTCTATCCAAACGACGCGCACTTTTGCAGCAGCTGCTCACTCAGTGCTGCCGACACATACTCGCAAACTGACTTCGCTTGTTACCAGTATTCGTAACGCGCCACCTCTCGCATACACAACAACACGAGCGCCTATGTCAAGAATACACGACCCACATTCAGGTCAGTCACCCTACTGTCCGGACAGGTAGCGGCCACTTTCAATCTTTTTCGTCTTCATTCACTACACTTCGCTGCCTCTGCCTTTCATGCGACCCAATGCATTTCGACAAATTCCTCTTCTGCCGTTCCTCGTCGACACGTCGACCTTCGCCACACGCATCGACCACTCTTTCTAACTCTTGGCCTTGAACTTCTCCTACGTCTTCAGCTACTCCAGCAGTAGTTTCACAACGTCCACGATCACTTTCCTGCAGTCTGTTGCACAGCACCTTCCAGCCAATTATTCCCCGACCATCTCTGCTCCATCTTTCGTCATTTTTAGCTCCTGCAGCCGCCGGGCGCTACGCTCCGCCTTCTTGAGCAGCTTTTAAATACCACGCACACTCTGTCCGCGATACGTCGAGGGCGCTTTCTTGTCTTTGTCAAGGCCGTCGTCCAGCAGCAAATGCCGTACGAGATGGACGTCGTGACGACGGCAGAGTCCTTTGTTGGCGCTGCTAGAGCGTCAGCCTGAGACTGTGCAGCTACTTCTTCCTCGCGCTTGTCCACCTGTTAACTAACTCTTATGCTGTCTTGTGCTTCTCCCGCATGCGCTGCTCGGCCACGACTTTGATACAGGACGGAAGTTTCTTGCCCGTGTTTTTCCTCAGCTCTGCGCTGCTACCGCTTTTCTACAATTTCACTGCAGGAGATGAGCGCGGACGTCATCGGTACTTTCGCTTTTGTTCGTCTCTCCATGCAGCGGCAGTCCCTTTTCGTGCGCGTTGAGCTATTTCAGCGGCTGCTTCGGTTCCTACTACTTCGTTTCCGGCTGCTTAAGTGCGGCTGATTGACAGCCACGAGGCTTAACACGGACCGCGTCGTAGTGGTTCCATCAAGACGCGTGCGTATGCGATATATACATGATAAGTATACATGAGAGGATGCGTAAATGAATATAAAATAATATTAATTGATAACAAATCGTTAAGAAATGTGGAGATTAAAAAACAGTTTTCTTTTAGTACTAAAATCACATTGGCTTACACCTTTACAAACGAATAAAGCTGCAATTGAGGCAATTGGGTAAACCATTATAATATACAATTTTTATAAAATAGATATTATAATTCTAATTAATTGGTAGGGATTTAAATATATTTTGCGCGCTGAAGGTGTACCGAAGCATGTACTCGGCGTTATTAGACAGACCCAACACGGTTCGACCCGCTGTGGAGACAACGCCGAGTGTCGGATGTGACGCTCGACTAGTCCTGTCGTCGTCAATAAGACGCGGCCGGGGAATGCACCGGTAATCACATGACGCACGTCAAATGTTCGGGTCGCTCACGTCTGATTAGTGGCTATTATTTGCTCAATACGTCGATCTCAGTCCCTCGCGCTCGACGCTGACGTACTTTGCCAACGACTCTGAGCTTGCAAACGGCGTGCGGAAGGCGCTGAAAGGCAACGCGTCCGTCTTCCTGCACATTCACGTGACGCACGCGGGGGATTTCTTTCTGGACCGGAAGGTCGCTGAGCACCACGACCAGCACCAGACCTTTCACGACGTGTCCAGTCTCGTCCACGACGCTCCGAGTTCTATCGCATTGACTGCGACTCTCTGTCAGGAACAAATGCAGCACAGCTATTTAGCTATGCTATCGAGCGATTAGAAATGATTTCCGCTCGATATTAACCGGTACTTAATCATTGCATCGAGCTGTCACGCTGTATGTGTCGTTGCAGCACTTGCTTTTTGGCTGGCTTGCCTCTCCATCATGACGGTCGCTACTGGTGCGCTGAATGACACGACGTCGTTGCATGAAAACGGAATTGCGCTGCAGTTTGCGGTGCTGATGGAACCTGTCGATACATCTTGGCGTCGCTTGTTACGGTTTCGCAGCTTAACAGCACTGTAATTCTCCTTTGGAAGTGAAAATGGTAGACGGGCGTAGCGGTGGCAGCTTGTGCACGAGCTTTTGCCGAATTCGATGTTGTCGGGGACGATGGCCGAATAATGCACAGAACGCACACTTTTAACGACCGAAGAAAACGCAACACGCTGACTCGTTTTCAGCATCTTCACTTGCTATCCATACTCGCATCTTCAGCTATGACTATGCCACTTGTCCGATGATGTACGTCCCGCACGCTGAATGGTTTGCTTGCTTGCTCGAGTCCGTGGCTTCAGCGATGCATACGTTATGCTTTGTGCTCATGCTATCTTTGCTGGCCATCAAGTATCGACTCAGGTCTGTGGCCTACCTGTAGTGGCGATCGCTTGTGTGGTATCTCCCTGACATCCTCCTTTGACGACTTGTCCGCGTCTGTCATCAGGATGCCGAATTGCATCAAGTTCGTTCTTTTGCGACGATATTGTCATCCTCGTGTCTCTGTGTCGGTCTTGTCTGTACCCTGTAGATACCGTACGGCCAAAAGACGTTGTCGGTTTCGCTGCCAGTCGGAAGAAAGAGTCCATGAGATATTCCCGCGGTAAAGTGAAGGTGCGTATAGAAGCACTTAGGTAGGTTGCTCGTTGGGGCGTTATGCTAAAGAGACAGGAGTCGCGAGTTGATACAGCTCTACTAGATGTAAACTTGAAAACAGGTTTATTTGTCGTCAGTTTACGCTAATCCAAGAACATGCGTTGCTAGTCGCATACCAGCGCGCTTTATTGCATGACGTGTGAGTTGTTGGTGCATACAAAGATTGCTACCCGCTCATAATCTTCGTGACCCTTGCCGCTCTTTTGATCAGCGCATGTGGGCGTGATCCAAGAGGTTTACATGTGGAATACCTACTGAGGTGCATAGTGAACAGAAGTCGGGAGGGTCTCATGAAGGATCCAATCAGTTTAGCCTGACAATTATTGGCGCGCAACAGACGACACTTCGCGCTGTGGGTCCATCAAACAACAGAGCAAGGCGATCTGATCGTGGTGCCATAGTAGATTAAGCGTCAGCTTTCACCTACTACCACGTTTTAAGGGCTAGACACCTAATTGCAATGGACCAAAGCGCAATATGTAAACATTGTATACGAAGCGGATCATCAAGATATAAAAACGTCACTAAATGGCTTTTGCCAGAAATAGGGACCCAAAGAAAAAGTCGAAATTTGTCTTGAAGTCAGCGCGAAAATGGACAATTTATATAGAAACTAGAGACCAACAAGATCTCTATTTTTGTGTCTTTATAAAGATAAGCGCGCGAAAACAGGCGACAGTGCGCCCAGCAGAAATATCACAAAATATCACAAACAATTGGCATTTCCCAGCTTTTTGCCGCAAATCATCATGTGAAAATACAGTTTAAATTTGGAGATTGCTATACGTTCATGTTCTGCAAGTCCTCACGTGTAAAGAGTCGACGGTTCACGTCAATAGTCTTGCGCCGCTTAAAAGCATTAGTAGAGGACGCAGGAAGCAGTAGAATCTCAGTCTGCACAAACTCTGACTTGAAGCCAGGATGGCAACTCGACGTCATTGACGCACTCGCCATCTTGAAACAGCTTGAGCCGACACGGCTGTTGAGGCAGGAATACTGAACAGGGTCCGTACGCTCTGAAGCCAGAGACCACATTGGCAGGCTTGTCCACGATGCCTCGGTTCACGCGGGGCTTAACAAGAGAATGGCTGTTTCGCGCGATATGGAGCCTTCGCCCCCATTGAGGTTGTACTCGCGCATCACGGCATCAACGATGGGCTTATAAGTCTTGAATACATCCACGTCTAGCAGTTGCAGGAGGTAAGTTGCGTTTGCTGGTAGGAGAATGAGAATGATCTTGAGCCGCACCGCCTCGCGCACAATATCGCTCTTGTAGTGACTGATGCAGCCGTCATACACCAGGATCAGCGGTCGCTGGACAGCATTGGGCACTTCATCCAGAAAGTGGCTAACCCACCATATGAAATCTATGCTGGCTATGAGCCCCCGAGGAGTGATCGTGACAGCAGCTCCCGGGACGCTAAAATTCTCTAACACGTCGCGCGTGACACACTAACTTAGTAAAATGTACAGCGGTGGTCAGACAAAGCACGCCGATGACGTGCACGCGATGATGGTGAGGTGGAAGTGTCAATGTGCGGACTTGCTCCACACATTCCACAAGCCCTCGACCACGATAACCTCTGTCAGCCTGTTCTCCTGGGAAAAGCCCGTCTCAACCATGTTGAACAATCGATTCGGGCTTGCGTTGCGCTTGATGATGTGCTTCATGTACTCGTATAAGAACATCAGTAGACTGTCGACGCTCACTTCGTTCCGATCACGCTTGATAACCTGGCTATCGCGCAGCGGCAAATCTGGATGACGCTCGATAAAGCATGACACCTATCGTATCGTAACGAGTCCGATGCTCCGCTTCACACCGTATTTGGCCCGATCTATGGCGTTTACCTTCGCTAGCACTCCTTCAAGATTAAACTTGCAGGCCATTCTTCTGAATTCCAACCACCCAGTCACGAAGATTACCCTCCATTTTTCTCCCAGTATTGATAACGCCCCAGTATTTCGTAGCGTCACGCCGTTTTTATAAGAAGGCAGTCTCGATGCCAAATCATTCACTCCGGATTACCAGGATATTCATTACAAACGCGGCCCATCTTAAAGCCCTCGGCATGAGCGCGCAGCGGTGTCAACGTGTTCTGCTAAGTAGTCCTTTTGCCCTGCAGACGACATGATAGCCTTCTTGTTCTCCCCATCCCTTTGACGAGCTCCACGTCTCAGCCAGACTGTCTCGCACGACACATCTTGAAAATTTCCTTGGGTTATCTACATTACAGTCAATGATAGAGTCTTGAGCCTTATATAACAGACCGTGACATAACTGCCTCCTACACTGGTTAATGATGGATGGATCCTACTCCACGACCAAGCTACGACTAAGCGAAGAACAATCGGATGGATTGATTGATGGATGGTCGATGGATAGATGAAATTAGATGAAGCATTCAGGTAGGCACGGTAGGCTAACATGGTATTGAATACACTCTCAATTTTACCTTTGACTCCGCAAGACCCTCTCAAGCAAGGCTCGCGGACCGATCACCCCTCTGCAAGCCACGGGTGTGTCAACCGTGATCACTTCCAAATTTGCTAAGCACCTCGCACCGCCCTGTCAGCCCCGTACCAGGTGCCAGGTTTGGGAGTACTCTTTGTACACCAACCTGCCTCATGCATCTCAGCTTAAGCCCGGACTCTTCAATTTACCACGCACCATGCGCGGGTTGGCGGACCCCGTCACGGATGCGCTGCCGCCGCATGCCAGCGCACCTCCCGACCAAGCGGCCGGCGATCGTCAACCCCAGGAGCCGGAGGGCCACTCTCACAAGGAGGGGTAGCTACCCAGTAGGGGAGGGGACGATCAACGCGCTGTCCTTTCTGATGGAGATGACGCGGGGCCGTCGTCTGCCTCGTCTGCGACGCTCGGCGACACAGGCTTTCCTGAGGGCGTCCCTACCGATTTGACACCTGTCCCTGTCAACCGCCTCCTAAGGCTAAGCAGGGATTTGAAAAGGAGTCGGTCCCTACCCAACCGTCTCCCAATTCCAAGCCGAAAGCCGAATCACCGCCTGATCCAGGCGACCAGTCGCTTGGCACTCCGACGCGTGACGGATCTCCGGGCGTATCGCCCTCAGTCGTCCGGCCGCAAAACATTACGCGGCATTATAGGAGGCTCGAAAAACGGCGATAAGTGACCCTCTACGTGACGTATGGCCTAAGCCGCTAGCCAAGCTATTTACGATAGTCCACGACTCCGTAAAAATTGATGAGGAGCTCGTCCCTCCGAGAAAGAAGCATTTTTCAAGATTACGACGTGAAGAAAAAGTCACCCTTTTCCAGTTCTTCGAGGTCGCGTGTGTGAGATGTGATGCCACGTACGCGGTATAGATGGATTACGTTACAAAATTGACTTAAACACTTTACAACACTTATTGGACCTTCCGGTATTTTTTGCAGAGAATAATCAGCAAGGTAAAATGCGCTCGACTAAAGTCGTTGAATCAGTGGGCACCGTCCCCCAAGACGGACCGTGGAGTCACGGAGGGAGGGTATCGCCAATAAGAGCACCATGACACCTAACAAGTCTTCATGTTTAATCCGGCGGCCTACAAATCGCAGGACATTGGGACTTTACGGGCGCTGTGTCTGCAGCCAGCAACCTCCAAGAGCGGTGTTCAGCTTCGTGGTGGCACACTCGATGAGTGGGGGATTATCAGCGGGCTAGCGGAGGGAAGCATCGTATGCAGGCGCCTGCCGGTATTTTTAAGTAGCATTCTGGATTCAAAGGAACGCGTCCGACTATCCCGGAATATTTGGTCCTGGGTGGAGGGTGAACTCATGTTGCACCTGCGTAGCGGGACAGACAGTCGTCTGTGTCAACAAACCACCAGTGCTATCAAGGAAGACATATTGTTGGCTGCGGAACGATTGCGAGTGGACCAGGAAGTTTTTCGGCGTTTTTTTCAATGTTGCTACGACGATTAGCTTCAACCCCCTTCAACGCTGCATTCACTTTTATTTTTTTGACCGTGTCACAGCACGGAATTTCGAGTTGGTATCCGTACCGTTTCGGAACGAGGTCTACCGTGTGGCCAACATGCATCTTCCGGCCAAGGGGTCGGTTTGGGCACGTCAACTCAGCCGTGGTGGCACTCTCCTGACTACCGAGCGGGAATATGCAGTGGAGCTGCATAACTTAACTCGCTTCACGGATATCGGCCGGCTGAATGCAAATTTCCAAGAGAATATTGCTGCAGAATTTGATTTGGAGGATATAGATCCGTGTACACCCAATTCCCGAACTTATACTGTGTGGCGATTGACAATCAAGATGGCTGGCTGTCCTGAATTTTCGCGCGAAATCGTACGCCTAATTTGGTTTAACGGACCTATCATTCTTATGCACCCTGATGTTGGGCGTCGTCTACAATGTCTCTATTGTGAGGACTGGGTCACATCATGGCGAGATGTTCGTACACGGAGGAACAACTGGCCGAACCCGGTAGAAGGGTTTCAACTGACCGCGAAATTTCCGGTCTAGAAAATTTGGCCACGCCATATGGCAGTTCGGAGGAACTTGAAGAGACAGCTGCGACCCGGTTGAAACTACAGCAGGATCAGGACAATAGGAGGCAGGCAGCCGTGGAATCTACCGCTTCCGTGGCAGGTGAATCCACCACACCCGAGACCACGATACCTAGCGCTGGCACTTATCAGACTCCCTTGGATGTCCGTGGGACTGCATTGTTGCCCAAGAAGAGATGGTAGGCAGTCCCTATTTGCAGGGGTAAGAAGCTCCAACCCCGTACGAAGACACCTGCCACGCGTAATACAGTGTCATCATCGTCTTACGCAGGTCTCAACGAGTGGCCTGAGGACACAGACATTAGTCTACCGTCCGGTACTACTCACCCTTCCTGTCAAAGATACGGTAGACCTCATGGCTGATAACGTCGCTAAGCTGGTCGATGTCCACCCGACTTTGGCAGCCGATAAGGAATAGTTGCATCTCTGTTCATCGAAACCACCTAGCCGGCGACCGACATTTCAGCTTGTTACGATCAAGCAGCATGAACAAGCAACGTTACGCAAGGTATTGACAGATGGGAATCTTGGCATGGGGATCCTGCTTCCGGTGGCGGATTCTGTGGAACGCGATATCCACGATTTACCCACTATTGGACGGGTCCTTGGTCTGAGACCAGTCATAAACCCCGCTACCGGGAATTGTCTGGCGATGGCGATCGCGCAAGCGGTGGCGGACCATGATCTGGTCGCCCAAGACACTATTTTGGAGAACAGTACCGCTTGTATTAAGCGTGTCATATGTTGGACGGGTTTATTAAATTTTGACGATCAATTTACCCACTCTGACCGCACGGGGACGTTGGTATAGGTGTCGCGGGGCTGGAAAGTAATGGACGCTCAAAGTTCCTCGAACCAATTTCAGTGGTACCTACATGAATACTCTGCGACACCATCGACCCGACTAGTAATTATTATGAAGCATAATTGCGGAAGTTGCGAAACTTTATCGATAGCGGCAAACTTTTTGCAGCGTCAGTTATTTGTACTTGCACACAATACAGATGGCCTCCATTCCTGGGCCTGCTCTCCGTATCGTCCTATAGCGATTACAAGTTAAGCCAAAATAATCGAGACCGGACAACACGTACCACTGGAGATTGGACAGTGCGCCCACGCGATCACAGTTGCTAATTCTACGGACAAGAACCCACCGCTTATTTTGAGATTCTGGGGAGATCATTACTCGGCTTACGTTCATACCCGGTCTCCAAGTGTTGATGCGTGCTCTCTTCTCGACTAGACTAGACAGGATCCCACGGTTCCGCAACATTCGGGATACAAGGACGTCGCTATGCAGACTACAAAGCACCGGCTCTCCACCGAGGTCAATATCGACCCATCGTCGATTGGACACGCAAGCTACAACGGGTCTCAACTGGCGTTACTTCCCTCTATCTGGAACACCTATGAGCAACCGATTGCTCAAAAGAGGGCGCACTCGACTACTCCTGCCTAAGGAGAACAAATTTGGAAAATTATGCGGACTAAGTTAGCGGGGAATGTTCAAGATGGGGAGGCTGTTATGAAAGACTTCCCACACATCATCAGGTCAGCGGAGCTTATGGCCCCAAGAGCGACCTGACCAAATTTGTGAAGTAAACATGGGGGCGCCTGGCCGGTTTCGGCTACGGTCACATTTTCCCACATGCACAGTAGTACAGACGAGTGGGTTCATGTGTCGCAGCGGGAGCCTCGGTGATTCTTATCTTACTGCAAAACTTCCCCTATCCGGAGGAGATCCTCCATGCTATCGACGATCATGTTTTTGAGAGCTGGACAGCTGCCTGGAGACGTAGCTGTGTCCAAGCACGCTTGGTTTCCTATCGCTCAAGGACGACGCATCCTGCGACGCGCCAGTGGTTGGACGCATGGGACGTCGAGTACACACGGCCAGCCCCATATAACCTGCCGGCTCTTATGACAGCCGCGACGACTAGGTACGCTTCCGCGCTAATGATTGTGTCAACGACCTGATCTTAAAACTATGTGACGTTAACTACAAATGTCGATTAGGCAAGCAAATTATTCGCGCCGGATTGTACGAGAAAGAAATTCAATTTCTGATTGGTCAGAGCGATTTTAGGAATAACGGGACTGTGCACCGTCTCGACCGTCACCTTAAGTCTCTTAAAACAATGAGCCGGTTTCGTAAAGCGTACGCTACTAAATATCACAAGGTGGAGTGGGGTAAACTCGCGATCTTCTTCGCCGGTGCTATAGATCACGGAGCGGAAGATAGAGGCCATCATTACTAAGGGCAGCCAAGCCTTAGGAACCGGAGCTCATCTCCGAGGGAGCGGTCACGGTCCCACGGACGCTTACGGCCGTCACATCTATCGCCGGCG